AGTTGTAAAAAAAATAAGATAAAAAAATTATATAAATATCATTTCTCAAAAATCTTTGTCAAAGAACTAGTTTTCTTATATTTCTATTAGCTGCATGCAAATCTTCATTTAAAGTTGCTAGTTTTAGTTTCTTAAAAGCTTGTTTGCTTTGTTTAGAAAGTCAAGTGCATTAATTTGTAATTTCCCGTCGAGCTTGTCTTTGTAAAGTTTTCATCTTGTTTGTTTTTCTACTTAGTGTCAGACTATATTAATATATTAATGTTAAAAGTCAAGACTTTCCATATTACAATCTTTCTTCATTTACTACGTACCTTGCTTTCATGGTCAAAATTGTCTACTATTTGGTCAATATTTGCTTACTATTTTGTCCTTTAATTAATATTTAGCTTTTGTATTCTTATTTTGTATTTATTTTTTATCTATTTTTTATTTATTTGTGAGAATTATAATATATGTTTATCTTTTATCAATACTTATTATAATATATGTTTATCTTTTATCAATACTTATTATTGTTTATATTTATTACTCTAATAAATACTATTTACTATTATTGTTATATTATTATCTGTTACTTTAAAAATTTTATCTTTGTAAAAATATATGAGTTTAGATTATTTAGATCTAACCATTTCACATCCTTATAAAAAACCAAAAATAACCTTAGATAATCATAATATAATGTGTAGTCATAATTTACATTTAGATTATAGTAAATTAAATAGTATTGTAAATTCAATTATAAATATTTTAGAAAATTATAAAAAAACAAAAAGAAAAGGTAGTGCTTGAAAGGTTCCAAAACTTTGAAAAGCATTACAACAAAAACATTGTGAGAATAATTGAAAACCAAAATTACTTGCAACAACAAATTGAATTTGTCAAAAACAAAGTTAATTTAGTTAATTCTCAAATTTTGAATAAAAGAGAGTAAGATCATTTTGTTCAAAATCTCTATCATCAAACAACCACCTTAATCCAAAATCAAGAAGAATTGTTAAACAAGTCTAAAAACTTCAAAAATTAATTCTTTGTTTGAAGGGGTGAAACCCTTTTCACTCAAAATTCAAACAATTAGGAAGCATTAAAAGAAGCAGGAAAATTAAGAAATCCTTATGAATTAACCAATTTTCAACCCTTACCAATCTAAGATCATGTATTAGTAGGACAATAAAATACCCAAATTATTTTGTTACTACGAATCCTCAAAAATCAAGAAGAAATCTTAA